CCCCATGACAGCCCCGGGACGTCCCCTTGGCTGACTGGCTCAGAGATATTTTCCACCCTCGGGGTGGTGACGCACCTGCTGCTCCTGTCCCGGGCGGGGGCAGGAGGCAGGAAGCCCTGAGCCGAGGTGCAGGGTGCGGGGAGGGACCTGGGCTTGATTCCAGGAAACCAGGACGCCGCGAGGAACAGGCGGCCAGGACCCCGCATCCTGCACTCCTCTGTGCACCTGGCTGGCTGGGCCCTGGCGCTGCCCTGTCCACAGTCTCAGCCTCATGAGGGGAGGAAGTGACTGAGGGCGCTGCCTAGTGAGCAAGTGGACAGTCACAAACCCCCTCCGCTGTGTGACAGCAAACCAATGGGGTCCCGTCAGGATGAAGCTTTCTTAGCAAATTCTGTGTCCTTTGGACCTTTTTAAAAATCTGCTTTGAGAATTTATTTTTGGACAGCACACTGGGAATCAGGTCACTGGGAATCAGGTCGCTTGGGTTCCAGTCCTAACCCTGCCTCGGCCTTGCTGAGTGACCTTGGGCAGGCCCCACCCCTCTCTGAGGTCAGGCTGAGGGACACAGGCAGAGTTTCATTCTGGGTCCCCTGGAGGATTGCGTCAGCACCTCTCCAACCTCTATCCCCCGATCAGCAGCTGCTGCCCTGACCACACAGCCTGGTCAGACAGAGGCCCGAGCCAAGACCCCCGAGTGGTGGCGTGGGATGGGGAAGGGACACAGAGACGGGAGAGCAACGGGCTGGTTAGTGGGGCCTCAGGGCCCTCAGGGACCATGAGTCCTGTGCAGATGGAGAAGGTGGCCTCCCTCCAGGTCTTCTTCCTGATCTGTCCCTCAGAGCAACCACAGAACGTCCCCAGGTTTTGCTGGGTCCCCTGCCGTCCGTGTCCAGTGTGGAGGCAGGGCCACCTGCATCTGTCCCCAGGCTCTGTGCTCCTCGGGGTGGGAGTGTGCCTTGCCCCTCAGTGGCCTGGGAGCTGCCCGGTGGGTGGCACCGCCTAGAGACTCAACACCTGTGGCATGGATGAGTAAGTGGGTCTCAATGGGTGCACCAGGCGCTGGACAGAGGTGACAGAGGTGGCCTCTGGGGACCTGGGGGAAAGGCACATCCAGGAAATGGCTCATTTCCCTTCCCGGTCGCAGCAGAGTGGCTCCCTCCCATGTCCCAGCGCTGGTCACACCTGCATTTCTGTGGGAGGGCTGTGGGGTGGCAGAGAGAGCAGGCTTCTGAAGTGACGAGGACCCAGGGTCCCAGGGGACCCCCAGAGCACCCAGCAGCCGCCGGCTCCTGTCCCCACCCTGCCTGTTACTGGGCTGAACCGTCTCCCAAAGTACACACAAGTCCTAACCCTCAGCCACGAGTGTGGCCTCATTTGGAAACGGTGTCTTTGCAAATGTGAGCAGGTTAAGATGGGGTCACCCTGGATGAGGGGCGACCCCGGGGCACCTTGACGGGGGAGAAGTTGGACAGGAGACGCTGCCTCCCAGGGAGAAGGCCATGTGACCGGAGCCACCAGGAACTGGGAAGAGACAAAGGGGGGCTTCAGAAGAACAACGGACGCTGCCAATTTGACTTCAGCTTCTGGCCTCCGGAACTTTGCGGAATAAACTGT